ATTCCCGGCGGTGCCTGGATTTATAACTTGTGTTGGGCAAGGCCTTGGTCTAGGCAACACGGAGTTTTCCTCTGTGGCATCCCAACAATTACTCCATTCACACACAGAAGAAGGCAATGGCAAACCACTTCTGGATCATCTGCCAAGAACGTATATGAACAGGTCCCAGTCCGAGAAAAGGATGGAAGGATCCTGTTCATATGGACCTGTCCTCAGACAGAACACTAAATAAATATAAATAATAGTCGTCCAATAGTGGGTTTTGTTGTTTGTAGTGTTGAACCGTCAAACTCTGTTATCTTAGTGCCAGAGTTCAGAAGATTACGTATACATTCTTCTGCAGCGTACAGAAGGGAGCAACGTTACAAATGGTATTACTCTATGCGGGTGGAAAGTTTCTAGTACACGTCTCCTAGGTTAGTGATTTATGGAACGCGAAATATACGAGTCAGTGCTATAAAATAATACCTGTTTTCGTTATTATATTTGATGTTAGATGCATCTCTTTACCGGGAGGCAATCTGACGATGTTTGTGTTCTTTTTTTGCAGACATTAGCAAGTGCGAGGACTCTACGAAGAAAACCACGACGTCTTCCTTGCGAAGTCCCGCGGTTGGCGTTGGAGACGGAGGGATGAAGCCTGTTGCGGGCTCAGTCGTCGGTAACAGCTGCAATGGAGGATCTCACAACAACTCCACTGACGATGACCTGTTGTTTGGTACGTCAAGTCCTAGAAATTATGGTTCTAGCTTTTGCAGTAGTGGGAAGTCAAGGCCTACCATGATCAGTGCAAAGTACAGACTGAAAGAGGAACGTCGTAAAGTTCTTAAGATTTCCATCGGCAAGCTGAAGAAGATTGAAGATCCTGAGAGTTCGCTTTGGAGATCCGTTCTCATAAACAATACGATGAAGAGACTTCAGAAAGAAGCCAGAGATGAGAAATTGCAGAAACAGCAACTTCAGTCGTATCCAACTCGTTGTTATGCTTCGTCGACATTGGCGACCTCAGCTTTCACCATGAAGGATGACTCACTAGAAGATGCGAGTAGTGCTTCTTCTATCTGTTCCACAAGAACGTCACTCGATGAAATGCCTTCCATCACATCACCAGCGATCCACGACCTACCATCACCCCTCACTAACGATGTAGACAAAGAGAACACTTCTCCGTTCTCACCCTCGTTGTTGTCATCTTCCCCAATGTCCCCAGTCTCAACACCGACTTTTGAGAACGCAAGTTCCAAGCCGGACAGTGGCCATGAGGACTTCGTCAAATCTCCGGATGCTGGTCAGAGACTAGCTGCATCTGACTGTCTTTGCGATGAGACCATGAGTGATCTTGTCGATGATGTCGCTGGTACCACAGAACTTCCTGCCATAACTGGAATGGAAACCTGTGATCCCTCCAGCAGTAACCGATGTTCTGGTACCTTCACTTCGAGGAAACGTCCCTTCGATGAAGTTGAGGATTGTGATGTTCAAGATGTTCTCAGCCAATTCTACATGCCACCTACTCCGAGGATGCTAACTTCTATTGACGATACTGACGATGAAGATGAAGATGTCAATGTGGTTGATATCGATATAGCAACTTCTTCAGCGCCGATGTCGCCTCTGTCTCTCTCTCTTGTCCATCAGGAAGAATCAACGTCCAGTAGTTGCAAACGTCCAAGGTTTAGTGATGGCGCCGAAGATGAAATTATTGGTACAACGGAAGGGATCCTGAATAAATGGAAGGAACATTTCCAACAGCTACTTAACACCGAGGTAAGTAAGGAAGAAACTGGAAGGAGCATAATTGAAGTAGAGGAAATGGAACTAGAGCCACCAGATAGACTGGATGTGTCCCTGGCCATAAAAGCCCAAAAAAGAGGTAAGGCCCCAGGCATAGATAATATACCAGCAGAGTTAATTAAATCGGGTGGAACAGCATTGGAAAACATAATATATACTCTCGTGAAGCAGATATGGCAAAATGAGCAAATACCCGAAGAATGGAAAATCGGATTGATATGTCCAATATATTTAAAAAGGGGACAGGTTGAATTGCCAGAACTATAGAGGTGTAACCCTATTATGTACGGTCTATAAAATATTTACCTATTTACTGCGGAAAAGACTGGAGGAAGATTATAATAAAATTATAGGGGAATACCAATCAGGACCTTCCACGGTGGTCTAGCGGTCAGAACACTAGCCTTGTAAGCCTGGGGTCCCGGGTTCAATTCCCGGTGGTGCCGGAATTTATAACTTGTGTTGGGCAAGGCCTTGGTCTAGGCAACACGGAGTTTTCCTCTGTGGCATCCCAACAATTACTCCATTCACACACAGACGAAGGCAATGGCAAACCACTTCTGGATCATCTGCCAAGAACGTATATGAACAGGTCCCAGTCCGAGAAAAGGATGGAAGGATCCTGTTCATATGGACCTGTCCTCAGACAGAACACTAAATAAATATAAATAATAGTCGTCCAATAGTGGGTTTTGTTGTTTGTAGTGTTGAACCGTCAAACTCTGTTATCTTAGTGCCAGAGTTCAGAAGATTACGTATACATTCTTCTGCAGCGTACAGAAGGGAGCAACGTTACAAATGGTATTACTCTATGCGGGTGGAAAGTTTCTAGTACACGTCTCCTAGGTTAGTGATTTATGGAACGCGAAATATACGAGTCAGTGCTATAAAATAATACCTGTTTTCGTTATTATATTTGATGTTAGATGCATCTCTTTACCGGGAGGCAATCTGACGATGTTTGTGTTCTTTTTTTGCAGACATTAGCAAGTGCGAGGACTCTACGAAGAAAACCACGACGTCTTCCTTGCGAAGTCCCGCGGTTGGCGTTGGAGACGGAGGGATGAAGCCTGTTGCGGGCTCAGTCGTCGGTAACAGCTGCAATGGAGGATCTCACAACAACTCCACTGACGATGACCTGTTGTTTGGTACGTCAAGTCCTAGAAATTATGGTTCTAGCTTTTGCAGTAGTGGGAAGTCAAGGCCTACCATGATCAGTGCAAAGTACAGACTGAAAGAGGAACGTCGTAAAGTTCTTAAGATTTCCATCGGCAAGCTGAAGAAGATTGAAGATCCTGAGAGTTCGCTTTGGAGATCCGTTCTCATAAACAATACGATGAAGAGACTTCAGAAAGAAGCCAGAGATGAGAAATTGCAGAAACAGCAACTTCAGTCGTATCCAACTCGTTGTTATGCTTCGTCGACATTGGCGACCTCAGCTTTCACCATGAAGGATGACTCACTAGAAGATGCGAGTAGTGCTTCTTCTATCTGTTCCACAAGAACGTCACTCGATGAAATGCCTTCCATCACATCACCAGCGATCCACGACCTACCATCACCCCTCACTAACGATGTAGACAAAGAGAACACTTCTCCGTTCTCACCCTCGTTGTTGTCATCTTCCCCAATGTCCCCAGTCTCAACACCGACTTTTGAGAACGCAAGTTCCAAGCCGGACAGTGGCCATGAGGACTTCGTCAAATCTCCGGATGCTGGTCAGAGACTAGCTGCATCTGACTGTCTTTGCGATGAGACCATGAGTGATCTTGTCGATGATGTCGCTGGTACCACAGAACTTCCTGCCATAACTGGAATGGAAACCTGTGATCCCTCCAGCAGTAACCGATGTTCTGGTACCTTCACTTCGAGGAAACGTCCCTTCGATGAAGTTGAGGATTGTGATGTTCAAGATGTTCTCAGCCAATTCTACATGCCACCTACTCCGAGGATGCTAACTTCTATTGACGATACTGACGATGAAGATGAAGATGTCAATGTGGTTGATATCGATATAGCAACTTCTTCAGCGCCGATGTCGCCTCTGTCTCTCTCTCTTGTCCATCAGGAAGAATCAACGTCCAGTAGTTGCAAACGTCCAAGGTTTAGTGATGGCGCCGATGATCTTGTCATCGATGTAGATCCCATTAAGGAATTAGAACTCGGCAGGACCATAGATGAGGAAACGTCTTGTCCAGTACCATCATCACCCATATCAGAGGCTCCAGTCACTTCTGATAGGTTAATAAGGATATCAGCTGATGTCAGTTCTAGAGACCTCGATGACCAGGAGGACATCGAAGTTGTCCTTGAGGACAGTGAAGATATTCAAAGGAGATTATTACTGTGTAGTGCAACGTCGTCTACGGCTGTACCAAGTACATCGCCGTCTTCATGCTGGGGTTCGTCGTCTAACAATATTAGAGTCAGAACTAGTGAACAGACATATGTTTCGCCTATGGTGACGTCATTACAGACAACAGACGCTTTGGGAGGGATTGAAGATGAGAGTTCTCATCCTCATTTGAGGTTTAGTAGGAACTTACCAGTCGATTCTAAGACGGCGTTGTCAGCATGTAACACGAATGGTACATATTGTGGGATTACAAATGGAAGTAACAGTTCCACAGCAGTCAGTGGTAGTAATAACAACGGTTCTATGATGATTGATAGTACAGAACAGCACCAGTATTCCTGTGGTCATTCGTCTATTTTTAGTGAACTTCAATCCATCGTGTTTCATAGCCTAATAGCGTCTCTGGAGTCATAGCAATATCTGAATGGTAATAGGTGCTGTTACTTAAGATACTAGAAAGGAAGGAATATAAGAAGAAATGCCTCGTGATTTAGAACCGCTGGGTGTTTTGATTAAGCTCAGTTCTGATCGACGTGTGACGTAGCGTAGAAAACACCGGGCGGCCATTTTGTTAGCGCAACAACACAAATCAAAATGGCGACTGAAAAAGATTGTGAGGAAAGGGACTTAAATGTCAGTGTTCTTTTATTTTTTCTCGTAAGACAGCGTAGAAACTTGCATCGTGTCCTACTTTTGTGACACCAAGGGTACTATTTTAGACTAGTATGATCTAATTTGTCATTTGTCAAAGAATTTGAGAGTCAGATTTAATGGAAAAACAACATAGTTACGGATATATTGAAATGTATGTAATGTGTACGTATTAGTAGTATAATTAGTGGTAGTACGAGTTCGATTACAGCAGATGATTTCACAGTCTGTGGCCAGCACCGACTCAGAGAGTGTCATTTTCGTAACAAAGTTTTTAATAAGTCCATATTGTAATTAAATAAAAAAATAATATATAAAATATATTAACAGCCTTTATGAAAAGGGCCACATATATAAATAAATATATATATATATATATATATGCACATGCAAATACTGTTAAATATATTGTCAAGTGCCAGAAAGAAAATTTACTGATGAAAGAAAGTTTATTCTAAATGTGTTTGAGAATATTTTACAGAAATATCAGCTGGGAATAATAAATAAAATAATACAAAAGAAATTCGTATGCAGAAACATTTAAAAGTTATTTTTCTCCCATCTTTTGTTTTTTTGGAAATGTATATTAAATGTTTTCTGTGTGTCTTTAAATACTAAAGCGAATTGGTGACGTTAGTACGTAGTTGGGACGAGCCATTTTGAGTACAGAAGAATGTATGTTTGCTTTTTAATAAAAGATTTCTGCTTTATCGAGTGTTCTCAGCATTTGCGGATACTTATCAAAGGTGCTTGGTAGATATTTTTATAGAGCATATCTTGTATGTAATTTTAAATCTTTTGAGAAAAAATTCTGTGACTCCCGAAAATCACGAATCGACCAAATAGCATACAATGAAGAGATATTTTATAATGGATCGTTCTCACCCCACTTTCATGACGCATAAAATTTATTTTCTTCAATTTTTACATCGTTTCACAATTGTATTTTTTTTTGTGTGTGCGCGTATGAAATTTGGAACAGGCTTTCGTACATTGCCAATTTTTATAGTAGGATGTATGACGTAATTAGTATTGACTATTTTTACAAGATCTCATTGGGATTAAATGAAGATGAAAGGAAAACTTTATTTCTGAAATTGCGTGAAGGTTAGAATATTTGCAGTTGGTACCTTACTACGATAGGCTACTTAAGGAATGGCCTACCATTCAGTTGTTAAATTTTTGTAACTACTATTATGTGTTGTCCCCCCCCCCACACACACTTTTGAATTAATTAATCGCGCAACTAATTTCCTTTGTTTATAATCTCATAATTGGAAAATTGTTTTGATAATAAATATACTTTCGCATTTACGAAAAGAACACTTAAAACTAAGGCAAAGTAACTGTGATTTTTTTGTTTGTATCCCTTAGACGTTTTATCTGAAACTTGTGAAAATGCTTTGAAAATTTAAAATGAAACACTTAATTCTATTGCATTTTTGAATAATGATATGGCATCCGTTCAATATCTCTGACAGGCATTATACAGCAGTTTGAATTAAATAATATATGAAGACTGGTTTTCAATATTGTGCAACTCTAAATAAATTTGTATCTACGTACGTAATAAAATGAAGTAATTCTTTAATTACATTCATCGTGAATCGAGTACCTTGAAGCTGAAAGTTTTGAAGGCAGATACTGAAAATATTTAAATGAAACTTTTCAAGTAGATTTGTAGACACCTGAAGTGTAACATATGTAAAAATCCACACCATAAATTAAAATAAGTCTATTTCGATTGATTTTGAGAAATGTGAACAGTGAAAATTTGTTATTGTATTTTACAAATGTGCATATAAATTCTATCGGTACCTTTTCTGAACATTATTCTTGGAATTCAGTTACTAAAATTTATTACAGTTTTTTTTGCAAATGCAGTTTCAATGACTGTAAAACACGTAAATCCTTTCATGCTTGAAAATAAACAATGAAAGCAAATTATTGTGCGTTTGAAGTCGCCAGAAATATTTTGGTTCATTGTGATTATTTGTGAAAGTGATTAAAGGAGCTATTTAAAATGCATATGAAAGCCTAATTAGCATGAAGTTTGTTATAAGTACACATTACACACGAATGATACAGATTTTTATCGTACATCCGTATTTAATTATATTTTATTTCAGTTATTAATGTTATTTGGTATGACGTATGTGAATTCTGATTAGACTCATTTTTCATAACTTAAATGTTTTGAAATTAGCGTTGTTAATACACTTTGTCACATATGATTTCCAGATTATTTACTTCATGAAACGAATCATAACTTCACTGGAATACTTTTCATAACAACGTTTGGTCAGAATGAATTTAATGTGTTTTCCCTACGTGCAGTATGAGATATAAACTGCAGTCCAGAATGAACATAAAGTGTATTCTAGTTTTGAGGAACTGTAATGGCGCGTGAAAAGTTAGGTTAGGTTTTTGTTCATTCTGTTTCCTCGTGTTTTCAATTTGTAAAACTAGGTTGGGGGGGGACACATTGAACCTAGAAATGTTTCCGGATATGATACAAACAATGAGAATAAATAATTTTAGAAATTCATATTCGGCAACCGTTTGTACTTGACACTTGATAAATGAAAATACCAATTATATGACATTACGAATAATATTTAATACTACAAACCTTTAAGATATTTAAGCTCTTCAAATCTTGATGCATTATTTGTTCCCATTAGCACTTTTATCAACAAATGGTGCATCAAAAATTAGCAGAAGTCTATGATATACTTCTTTTGTTTAAATAGTTGAAGATAAAATCTGTTTGATCTGGTTTCGTCATGTATTTGTTTCAAATATTTAATCTGTTAATTTTAAACTGTAATGTGTATGAGTTGTAAAAAAAAAATTAAAACCCCATTTGTTTCAGTTTAAAAAAAAGTAGTGTATTTAATTTATAATCTCATTATGCAGACCAGTTGAATTCTTACGCGAGTGTGCTAATACGATTTGAATTTGAATTCTAAATTACCTTGAATATTTCTATTACTTTCTAATGGTGTTATTTGCTGGAATTAGTAGTGGTAATACAGTTTGTCGTCAGATAAGACTTGCTGGATTAATTTATTTTTTTCCTTAACCAATTAAAACAGATCGGTCATTTATGCATATAGGAAATTTTGTCTATATTCTTCAAAAAAGGTTGTAAGCACGGCTGATTTTAGGTCAGTTACGATTGGATATCTGGTAAAAAATAATGTTTTTTTAAAAAACAAATATTATTACTCGGAGCTTCAGTGTAGATAAGCTTTCAGTAGTCTATCTCAACCATTTGCAGCTTTGTGACTATTTCCAGTCGTATGAACGTAACCAAGAGACAAAGAGGGTATATTCATTGTTATGGTGAACATCGCAATGCTTTGATGTGATCCACACGTCTTGACGTAAGGGGTGGTTTCTTTGAAATTTGTTTATTCCTATGTTAATTTTTCCCTAATCGATTTAGTTGGCACATTACGGCTTTTTTTTTAGAAAATTGTTCATATATTTATTTGGGATCCACGTGGCAGTTGCTAGAAAGTTCTCAAATAAATATAAAGTGAGGTTAGGTCATTTTAAAATGTTCTCTATCACCAACGCGTGCCATCCTGCCTCGTTAGTTGGTATTCCAATGCAATGACTATATGTAGCAATTAAAAAATATAACTTAGAATTAATTTTGGTGAAAAGAGAAAAATTCTTGCTATTATGGAGCCTGGAGTTTTATTACTACATTCATAAGAACCTTCTGAGCAACTCGTGTCCAAAGCCCTGTATAATATTTCACGTTATAAGCTTAAAAACTACCCCTTATATATATTCACAACTGTTCTGTGTATCTAGAAGCTTTCTCCAACTACAATCTGCAGATGCCATGGTTCAAGAGACCTACTTTATTTGTTGTAAATGAACTGTAAATTATAAGGGAAAATACACCAGCTCTATTTGTCAATCCCCTAGAATTGTTCTACTGATTATATATTAATTTCGTGATATAAAGACGTAAAACCAATTTTCTTTTGTCAAAGAACTCGCGTACTTGCCTTGGAGGTAAACTACTGTTGTTCCACCCAAATACTGTTTCCTTTGGATTTGAGAGTTTCATAGTTTTTGCTGCATTTAAATTAAACTAGACAGTTTGGATCAGATGACGTCGTAGATTTAAATTTCTGTTTATCTAACTTTTTATGGCAGCAAAGTTTGTACTGCAATTGTAGTGTGGACACTTTTTGCGTGATTTTCTTCATTATCCACGAGTTCATTTACTAGAATTTTTATTTAATATCTTCTGTTAGAGGTGTTGAAATAATTGTGATTTAAGTGAAAAAGTTGGTTACCTGTTCTTTGCCCCCCCCCCCCC